AAGCTCCAGGACACAACGACGTCAAGGGCAATGAAAAAGCCGACACGCTATGCAAAGGAAGCAGCTAAAGAGAGACCAACAACATCGACCATAGCGAGCCTAGCCTACCTAGGCACAGAAATTAACAAAATACAAAAAACAGAACAACTGATGGAGTACAAGAGGTATACCGACAGGCCCACCAAAAACAGAAGCTCCTACTCAAGGATCTTCAAGCTCAACACACATACAACAATCAAAGTCCCGAAGGGAACACCAAGAGAAATCTCGAGCGCGTTCTACTCACTCAAGCTAGGACATGGATACTTCAACTCCTACCTTAAGAGATTCAACAAGAGAGACTGCAATCTATGTATATGCTACAAACCACAAACACCACAGCATCTACTTCTAGATTGCAAACAGTACAAAACACATCGAAATACACTCAAAGAAGCAATACCACACAGACCCATCACCCTCCCACTTCTCCTCCAAACAAAGACAGGCATCAAAGCTACTCTAGCCTTCAGAGATGTCAACAAGCAAGTCAAGCTGGCTTGATTCTTATCGATTGCAGATCACAGACAATATAGAGGCTCGTGCACAGTGGCACGTCCCAGAGAATGGTCTGTGATCTGCAATCGATAAGAATCAAGCCAGCTTGACTTGCTTGTTGACATCTCTGAAAGCCATTATTGCTAGTACTCTATTTGCTACACAGAAAATGGAACCTTGGGCAAACCACCGAACAGACAGACACTGTATAGAAACTACAAAAACAATATTTCCTTATCCAAAAGAGCCCGCTGCTACATCTCTTTCTATTCACCACACTGCTCTTTAGCACCCGCGCCAATGGAAGACTAGCTCTGAAATTGGAGTACGCAAAACACCACCCAAATTGTACAAGACCCATAGAAACTCCACAACGACCATCATACATAGAACGGCTTAGCCAAAGTCCTACATAGTCACCGACTGATACAGGACTATAATGGAAATATAATAATAATAATTATTGAGAAGCTGGCACTATTAGTAGTAGTATGACTACCTAATAGAGCGCTCTCTAAGGCACAACGGTAGTGGTGGTACAGATTCGTATTGTATTGACTAAGGAGCTATTCACACGTTCGTAGATCCGTGTTGCGTGCAGCTGCGTCCAAGCTCCCCGCTAGGACCCACCTGCACGTGTCACCAATCATGTGACTACTCCTCCGCTTGATACCACCAAGTCACTTACGGACTGTATTCTCAACAATAATAATAATAATAGGCGGATAAGCTAGCGTGGCTTTATAGCAATAACTAGGCTTTTCTCTAACTGTGGGCTTGATACAACACGCCGCGCGCAACGCCTACAACTACGATACCTACCGCCGCCCACCGCTCAAACGAGATCGATAACGTTATTAACAGCTATATTAATTCTAAGCATTTGCCTACAACTAACAGCAAGATAGACGAGTATTAACAATAGAAGCAGGGCGAGCTAATCGCCGCAGACGATAGTCACGACGCTAATAACCTAGTAGAATACTAGGTAGCTTTGCGCGATTAATATCCGAACCTTAGCAGGCTTGCAATAGATGTATTGTTAATACCTGCTTTAAGCTGCGACTGCGAGCGCATGTTTAGTGAGCTTAGTGATCTATTAGAACCGCGGAGAAGGAAACTTAGGCCCTAGTTGCTGGCCGCTATGCTATGTATACGTCGCTGGCAACGGGCTGGATTTAGGGACGATGATTTTTGCGGAGGCAAGCTATCTGACGAGTATATTGACGACGTATACTAACTACTTAATTAGGAAATTAGTAGCTAAAGATAACAAAAATATACCAAGCTGAACAAGCCGACCAAGCCAACCAAGCCTCCACTCTAAATAAGCCTACCAAGCCAAGCCGGAGCTGTTGGCTTGTTCAGCTTGTTCATTGAGAAGTCTGCTTTCAGGCGCTTCAGGTCCTTCTGCGTCCCCCCTTCCTTGTCATACTACGCCTGTCTCGCACTCGAGCAAAGATTCTGCCAGCGCTCAGGGCGAAACACATTTGGGTCATCACCGCAGAGGATTTCCTGTCTGTGACACGCCTCGATATCTGCTTTTACTTCTTGGTCATTGAAACAGCAATGTACGCGACGTGTAGGAGGGTGAAGGCGTAGAGCCTCCTTGACGATCTCGACTGGTCTAATAACACCGTCATTGGTCTTAGTGGGCTTGTGGAAGATGTCATTCTCTATACTGTTTGGGACCTTGAGATCACTGAGATAGTCTCTCAAAACAGTAGTCCAGATATTCTTGTTCTGCGCAGCCCGGTGTTGGACTTCCAAGAAGCAACGTAAAACGACTCTCCACATGGTTTCGTAAGCGGGCAGTAGCAAGTTCATTGGATTCTGGGAGGGGTCTAATGGATCGACCGTGGTTGTGTCGTCGGGATATCCACCGATTCCAACCCTTAGGGCACTAAAGGTTACTCGCCGCAGAGCATCATGTAGTTTTGTTTCGTCCTTCCATAATGGGTGTTCTTCCTCGGCAAGGTCTTTCTGCTTACTCTTGATCCACAGCTCGTTGATGCGTTTTCCAATGTAGATGACGTCTTCGAAATGAGTGTTACTCTTCAGTGCTTCATGAGCACCGTCGAACAAGTAGCAAAGTGAGAGTTTCAAGGTAGCGTACTGGGTGAGCTCCGCGAGCTTGAAATTGCATGTACCATTGCGATTCATGTATTCATCAAAGTATGTTAGGGCACGGCGTCGTAGATCGGTCCAGTCATCCGGGGAGTCTTTTTGACAGTTCAGCGCCTTTAGCATCAAGTTCTCCGCCTTCTCTACAAATGGCCTTTTGTTACTCAGACTAGTGAAAGCATTCTGAATGCCGAATATATCCTTGAGACCCTGATTAGGTACAACTCTCGCTGGCTGGTTCACATGTATCTTGCCGTCTTCCGTCTTGAACCTGATCGTGTCGGCGCATTTCTTTGCATTCTTGAATTGCTCTTCCCGTTCCGACATCTTGATTCAAACACCGGAATTAGGTGGGATGGGAATGAAGAGTTCCAGAGTTCCATTTCTATACAGTGCGCACTGGATTGCTTCCCAGCGTCTGATTGCTCACGTGCTTTCATCACGAAAGAAATGGATGGGCCTAGAAAACTGCTGATTCTGGAGATAGCTATTTGTGAGTGTACCAGCTGATTCTTTCACTCTGCCATCCAGGAGTCGCAAACAACACTGTCTTCTCCGCATGTCGCGCTATAAACCTTATTGAAAATTCAGATGACAAGGGCAAATATCGCAGCGCGTATGAGGATGACACCTCTCAAATTGACGAATGGAGGAGTACATAGACAACTAGTGCAGCTACAGCCCTATTGGTTTCGCACCTGCCCAGTGATGTGATCATACTAGCACAGAGTCGGAAAGTCCGCCTGCCATCGGCTCGACAGAACCGGCTTAGCGTCTTCGGCAAAAATGAGGCTCAACCAAAGATCCTAGATACGTACTAACTATCCCAAGCCCTCACATCTCAATCTCAAAAACAAACAAAATGCCTTCCAAACCCGCCGTAATCATAGTCATCGGATCTCTCAATGTCGACCTCGTGACGCGCACCCCCCGCGTACCCGTTGGCGGCGAAACGCTGACAAGCGAATCCTTCAACATCGGCTGGGGCGGGAAAGGCGCCAACCAAGCCGTAGCATGCGCACGGCTCTCTCGCACTCACGCACAGGCATCATCTTCCCAGGCGTCCGATGTCGAAGTGCGTATGGTGGGGGCAATTGGCGACGACGAGTTCCACGAGGGGTTCCTCAAGGCGCTACGAGAAGACGCGTTGAAGACGGACGGGGTGCAGATTCTCAAGGGAAAGAAGACAGGTGTAGCTGTTATTGTGGTTGAGACGGGGACGGGCGAGAATAGAATCATGTTCTGTCCTGGTGCGAATGGCGATGTGGAAGTTAGGGATCTAGTGGATGCGGATGCTAGTGTTGCCCTATTTCAGTTGGAGCTGCCGTTGGAGGTTGTGCTGTATAATATGAAGGTGGCAAGGCGGAAGGGCGTTCAGACGGTCATTAATCCTGCGCCGGCTATCCCGCTACCTATGGAAGCATATGAGGGCCTCGATCACCTGATTGTTAATGAGACTGAAGCGGCGACGCTTTCTGGTATGGAGAAGCCTACTTCTTGGGACGAGGTAGCTGCTGTCTTCATTGCGCGAGGGGTGAAGAACGTCATCATCACGCTGGGCGGCGAGGTAAGCTTCGTTTTTGCTTTGACTTTTTCCATGTCTCTAGGCTGACCAGTCGCTAGGGTGTCTACTACAAAACATCAAAGCAGCAGTCATCTTCTCAAAATGGCCATATTGTACCAGCCCGCAAGGTCAAGGTCGTGGATACAACGGCAGCAGGCGACACATTTGCTGGTGCCTACACCGTGGCCGTTGCACGCTGGAAAATCATGTCCCAGGGTGCGGATTTCGATCTTGATGCTGCCATCGCCCACGCGAACAGAGCTGCGTCTATGACAGTGCAGAAGGCTGGTGCCCAGTCGAGCATTCCGTGGGCAAACGAAGTGCCCGATTCATGATTGGAACAGTAGGTATATCTGTCCCATATATCCTGGCCTGAGGTACAGAGAAGGAGAAGAAATAGCGAAATGTAACAACATTAACCCAGCATACTCGGAATTACTTCCTTCCCTCCGCTAATACCTCGATGCATTCTCTTGTATCCTTTACAGCCTTTTCCATAAGTATCCCCTCGGTGGCATTTTCCTTCCAATCAGACACCAACGTCAGAGACGCTATCGAGCATGGTGGTCGGTGTCGCTTTGTTTTTCCTATATCTAGCGACGAGCTTTACTGTGGCATCCTTTGAGAAGGTCATTGTGCGGAGCTTTAAGCTGTTGTTGGGGTTGTTGCTAATCTTTGCACCGGTCCAGAGTTAGGGGTGTCTTGAGATGCGAAGACATGATGAGTTGAGTATGGGCGGTACAAGAGGAGGAAAGATGAATGTGGCACTAAGCACAGTGTGGCCATATGAGAAGAAAACGATGAAGAAGATAGTTTGAAATTACGGGTAATTCATTAGTGAATGGTAACCACTTTCTTGAGCTACAACATCAAAGCAACTTATTTGCTCCTCTTGTAGATCTTCTGCAGGAATACCTCAAAGACCTCCTTCTTGAGGCCCTCGCTCTCATCTACCTTTGCGATCTTGGCTCTCAGATCAGCGACGCGCTCCTCTTCCCACTGCTCGTAAAACTCATTGAGCTTCAGTTGGTGGTACAGCTCCTTGACCTTGGCTTCCTTTTGGGAATCCTTCTGGCCGTAGTTCTCATCAAGAATCTTGCGTTGCTCAGGGGTGACTTTCTTCAGTGCTTGGTTGATAAGCCATGAGCACTTGTTGTCCATGATGTCGGTGCCAATCTTGCCGAGAACCTTGGGGTCAGCGAAAGCGTCGAGGTAGTCGTCTTGGGCCTGGAAGTACTCTCCCATTGGGATCAGGATGTCTTCGGCCGTCTTGAGGTTCTTGGGTGTTGCTGCGCCAGTGTAGTAGAGCGCTAGTGCCACGGGGAGGTAGAAGGAGTAGTATGCAGTCTTGTAAATGACGATGAAGGTGAACTTCTCCAAGCTAAACTTGTCAAGGTCGACGTCGTCCTCGGGCGCAGTGATTAGATCGCACAGTTGGCCGCACTCGGTTTGGAAGGTGACTTCTTGGAATAGTTCAACCATGTCAATGTAGCTCTTGTCCTGACGGAAGTGCTTCTTGAGAAGGATGTAGATGGACGCCTCTAGCATGAAGGAGTCGTTGAGAGCGATCATGCCAACTTTGGGTGCAAGGTACCAGCATGGGTTTCCACGACGGGTCTTGGATGAATCCATGATGTCGTCCGACACCAAGAAGAAGGCCTGGAGGAATTCGATCATCCATCCCAGGAGTGCAGCGCGGAAGTACTCTTCCGAACCCGGTTCAAGGGTCTTGTTCTGGAGGATAGACGTGGTGTCCACAACAGACATGCCACGATTACATTTTCCACCGATTGTGTTGTAGCTTAATGACTGTCTCAAGAAGTGAGTCGTCTGGAACTTGAAACCATTGTTTGGATCCTCATACCTTTGTGAACCAGTCAAGACAGTTTTGTGGCAGGTTGTAGCCTTTGCAGTGGTCTTGCAGGTCGGCCACAATGCGCGGCCACACGCTCTCAAAGTCTTTCAGTGTAGTAGCCATGTTGATTGCAGAATTCTAGGCGATATGCACAAAGGATTGCAAGCTAGAGGTGCAGTAGCAGACGCAAGATACGAGCGGTGAAGGGGCTATTTGGCGCAGCGGGGAAACTTTTGACCGGGCCATTGTTTGTGCCCCACGCTCCGATGCGGAGAGGCGCGACACGCGCCTCGGCGACAGCAGTAGCAGAGCGACAGTATATCCACGACGTGATAGTCAACAAATACAGGCTTTTGTGTAATGATTTGAGCTCATAATTACCCGCTGGCTCGCCATGGGAACATTATCGCAGGCCGATGAGGCCCAATTGAAGGCACAACTCCAAGACGCCGTCATCAGCTGCACAGAGCGCTGTCTCTATCATTCCGCCAAATGGTGCGCACCATGTCTAACCAACTAACATGTGTGTATGCTGATATTGACAAGGGCCGCAGAATTGCTCGACTCACTCCCTTGCGCCGACGATAATGCATCAGATACCGATGTCGACTCGCCCATGTCGGACGCGCATCCGCCTCAAACACCAAACCTCGTCCCAAAGGATCCTACTGAAGCGCGCCTTGAAGCACGTGAGGCGCACAAGTTCCTCCTTGCCAAGACGTACTTTGACTGTCGCGAGTACGATCGATGCGCTGCCGTCTTCCTCCCCGGGCCCTTGCCCAAGCCTCCAACGACACCAACAACAAATGCTAAACAGGCGGGCAAGGGCAAGTCCAAGATGTTCACCCCCACCAAAGCGAAGCTCTCCAATGATACGACAAAGGGCATCAGCCAGAAGTCGCTCTTTCTGGCGCTGTATGCCAAGTACATCGCCGGCGAGAAGCGCATGAACGAGGACAGTGAGATGATCCTCGGGCCCCAAGATGGCGGTGTCACGCTGAACAAGGAGCTGCCCATGGTGTCGGCCGTCTTGGAGGAGTGGTTCAGAGATTTGCCCAATAGCGGTCGACAACCGCAGGGCTGGTTGGAATATCTCTACGGCATTGTACTGGCAAAGGGCAAGAACGAGCAGCTCGCTATTGACTACCTGGTCAAGAGTGTCCATCAGTATACGTACAACTGGGGTGCGTGGCAAGAGCTGCAAGCACTGCTCAATACCATGGATGAGCTCAATGGCATCGTCGAGCGACTACCGCAGAACCTTATGACCTTCATCTTCCACGTCACATCGTCGCAGGAGCTCTATGCCGTCAACGAGCAGATACATACGTCACTGACGCAGATACTCAGCATTTTCCCTACATCGGCTTTTCTAAAAACTCAACGCGCGCTGCTTCACTACCACAACAAGGACTTTGATGACGCGGAGCAGATATTCTCTGACCTCCTCACTTCGGATCCGCATCGGGTCGATCATCTGGACAATTACTCCAACATACTGTACGTCATGGGCATGCGGCCTAAACTTGCATTCTTGGCCCAGCTCGCCACAGCAACCGACAAGTTCCGCCCGGAGACATGTTGCGTTGTGGGCAACTACTACTCCCTCAAGTCGGAACACGAAAAGGCAGTCATGTACTTTCGCCGGGCCCTGACCTTGGACCGGACCTTCCTCTCCGCATGGACGTTAATGGGTCACGAGTTCGTCGAGATGAAAAACACACATGCTGCCATCGAGTCGTACCGGCGTGCAGTTGACGTCAATCGAAAAGACTATCGCGCATGGTACGGCCTGGGCCAAACGTACGAGGTGCTGGAAATGCACTCGTACGCTCTCTTTTACCATCAACGCGCCGCTGCTTTACGACCGTACGACCCGAAGCTGTGGATGGCAGTCGGCCAATGTTTCGGCAAGCTGGGCAAGGTCATGAATGGTATCCGAGCATACAAACGCGCACTCGTAGCCGGCTCGTACTATGACGCTGGCATCGGCACTTCGTTTGGCAGCGGCGAGGTGTCTGGGCTCGGCGGTGGCGTTCTAGACCCCGAGGTCCTATACCAGATCGCGTTGTTATACGAGCGCATGAACAACATGGCCGAGTCTGCATCCTTCATGGAACTGGTCCTTGCACAGGAAGAAGGGCCGGAATACGAGGAGACGGGCTCGGAAAGCGCGGGTGGCGTCGGCGTTACGGCGACGACTAGCAAGGCGAGGCTGTGGCTGGCGCGCTGGGAGTACATGCGTGGTATGTACCAGCGGGCTATGGAGCTGGCGAATGAGCTGTGTCAAGATGGCGTCGAGGTTGAGGATGCAAAGGCGCTGGTGAGAGATATTAGGGCTCGTATGGAGAGGGCTGGTGGTGGGGACGAGGCAGATTGATTGATAGTTATCTCAACATTAAGCATTTGAAGGCGTAAGTACAGGTATGATACCCACAAGCAATACGACGACAGACATCTCAACAACGGGGTCAATAATGACTAGATTTACCCGAACACTGACTCAAAGCACCCGTCATCCCTCCTCCTCCTCCTCCTCACTTCCCGTACAACCCCGCCGTCCTACCCTCCCCCCACCTCGGATTCCCGCCCGATTCCTTCTCCCATCGCTTATCCTCATCCTGCATCTCCTCCACCCTCGCTCCTGTGTTTTTCTTCTTGATCTGGCCTACCTCAGCCTGCCCGTCTGTGCCCACTGCAATACCTTCCACTTGCCGCATTCTCAACTCAGCGTTGATGTAGTTTAGCGTGCGCTGCATGTCGCGTGCGTCGTGGCCGCGAAAGTCCAGCATGTAGAGTTGGTGCGTTAGTGATGTTTGAGCGGAGGTGAGGGAGGGGGTGGGGGTGAGGCGGATGGTGGGTGGGTGCTAGGGGTGGGGGGAGGTGAAGGCGTTGAGGGGGGGTGTTGGGGTTGGTGTTGGTGGTGTCATGCTTGGTTTAGTTTTGTGAGATTGGGTTGGGGTTGTGGTGAGGAGGTTTTATGGGGGTTTGATAAAGAGAGGAGGTTGCGACTGGCGTGGAGAGGTGAGGGCTAGATGATGTGGATAAGTGACGTGACGTGGTTGACCAACTCACAGGGTAATTGTGATTGCGGAGTGTGGTGTGTGGTAAATTGTGTCGTCACAGGCTGTTTTTCTAGCTATCATGTTTGAACAGGAGTTCGTTCACATTCAAAGTAGTGCCAAGGTTGTTTGCAACTACTCCAGAACAACGGCAAAACTTCACATAACCAATCCTGTCGCTCTCTGTCAACTTGATACCCGCATCTCGCTGTCTTCTCCACCACGACGTCTCTATGTCTATGTAACCGCTGGCCACGAGTACAAAGCCTCGCATCCACGGTACTTATTCTACATCAACACCAACTCCATCCCTCAACTCCCTATCCCCACACACAACTATCCCCAATCCATCCATCCATTCATTCAACTACCAAAATGTCCACTGCCACCACCAGCACGCCCATCTCCCCCAAACTCCGCCGCCAAACCCTCGCCCCATACCGACATCCCTGGCCCCGTGCAGAGATCGCCCCACGCACCGACTCATACCTAACCCAAGCCTTCCACATAATCCTCACCTACATCCACCGGCCCAACCGCGCCGGTCTGATCGACGATGTGGAATACAAGAATTACCTCATTACTCTTGTTCAGATTGCGAAAATGGTAGCTCAACGACATGGGAATTTTAGTAAGCTGGGGCTGAACGAGAAGGAATGGGGGTTTTTTGATGAGGTGGTTGAGGAGGTGAAGGGGTTGTTTCCGGGGTTGGATTTGGGGTTGGGGCAGCTGGCCATCAAACACATTGCGGCGGGTGCTGAGAGTGACGCTGGGAGTGAGGTTCAGGTGGGTGATGAAGGGGCTGTGACGCTGGAAGGGGAAGTGGATGGTGAACCGGGTAAGGAGGGCGGAGATGTCGAAGTAGGAGTGTGTAAAAGCGAGGAAGCAGAAGCAGAAGAGCAGGACAGAATTTCGGATGAAAGAAGAGCAGAAAGAACCCTCCGCATCACCGCCCTCCGCGAGGAAATCGCTCAACTCACCCGTGACATTGACGAAATGACACTGCAGGAACAGGAATACGAAAGCACTGGCTCTGCATAAAATTCTGTACTCTACCCCTTTCATCCCTTTCTTACTAGCATTGAATACCCTTAGCAGCGTTAGCAGCTGATATTCCCAACGAATCACACCCGTCGGTCATGCCATCTCTCTCAAATGCTCAAACGCGAAAAGCCTCATGTAGATATCGCCGCAAAGCAAAAACATAAATACCACCGAAACAATGCCTTTTTCTGGAAACGAATTATTCGTATTGAAGGTGTCGTGGCGGGTTTGCCTGTGCGTGGGTGTGTGCGGGTGGGCGATACGAGGGTGGTGGGCGATACGAGGGTGGTGGGCGATACGAGGGTGGTGGGCGATACGAGGGTGGTGGGCGTGGGTTTGGGATCGCGAGGTAGGGTGCGTGTGTGTAGGAAAGGGATGAGTGATAGTCTGGGGGGAGGTGAGTTGGCTATGGAGACTCTGTAGAGTTGGTATTAGTACTCTTGGTGTATTGTTTGAGGTCTGAATTGAGGTGTGAGTAAATGTAGTATATCTTTGCCGTGTACTTAATGTTGCCCTTGTCGATAAAAACGACAACAACCGATGTCATCGCCGCAAACGCGATGCGCAGAGCCCGACTGGGAAAGTATAGACTTCTGAATCTTACATCCATGCCATCATCGCCATTATTAGGAAAAGTGTATCACCCGTGCGCACCCAAATGCGTCACTCCTCTCAATCCAGCTGGCGACAGGGATGCGATACGCAAAATACGACCTCAGCTTGGACATAACATACCTATATGTAGGATCCACGCTCCCTATATCGATCTGGTCTACTACTTCCATCCCTCCCATCGGAGAAAAGAGGCGGCAGTTTTTAGAACTCGTGGCTGTGCGCGATGTCCGAGTAATGGGGGAGGGAATACGAGTACGGGGGACAGGGACCGGGGACCTTTGTTTCACGTGCATCATTGGGGAAAAGGCGACGTGGGAAATCCGATGATTTTCTCGATTAGGGCGGGGAGTGAAGATCTACAAGACACTAATGTATGTGTTTTTGACTTATACACTGCCTTTTTTGTGCAGTGCTTCGTTCATATTTGCCAACACATCTTAGGGATTCCACGCGGAAGGCATCGGAGCGGAGGCGCGGAAGACGTAGTACTTTCCAGTTCATTCTTGCATGATGTACGATGTCACTGTTTCCTCAATGGGGGTGTAAACAACACAGTCCGCAACAATCAATTAAGTGGGTCCTAGAAGGTTCAGATTGGATTGATTGATTACCGCTTTAAGCCTAGTAGTTACCTATAGGAGTTTAAGCCCTACCTAGATAGGTAAGTGGGTCTAGGAGAGTGACCGGATTGAATTGATTGTTGCGGAGTCTAGTAAACAACATCGATTGCTGTCACTTGTGGACCCTTTTGCTGACTTAATTTAGTCCTCTATACGCCGAATTTGTTGTAAGTATACAGCCACATCGAGTGAGTGATGCACGGATGGCGTGAGGGAGGAGGGGATGGATGACTTTGTTGATTACGATGGACGGCGACGACTTTGGTCGGCGATGTGCAAAGATACGAGAGAAGGGGGTATATATATGGGCTGTGATTCTCTTGGTTTGGATCATCATCATCATCATCATCATCATCGTCTTTGATAACATCTTCAACACGGGCATCCTTAAGTCCACATTCACCACCTCCACAAACCAAACCCTCTTCCACAAAAAACCATGAAGTTTACAACCATCATCACCCTCCTCTTCCTCGGCATCGCCACTGCCCTTCCTACCGCAACCCTAGACGACGCCGGCACCTCTTTGGATAGCAATGACAAAACCGCGCCCATTGCTAATCACGACCGCCCCGCCATCACCCTAGACGGAACCGATATCCAGAGCATCAGCGAAGCGAGTGTGGACACCGCCATTACCCTAGACGACGCGGACACCTCCCTGGACAGCAGTGATGCAACCGTTGCACCCGCCAACACCCTCGACGATGATACCACCACTACCCCCCCAAACAACGACACAGCCGTTGCAACCGTCAACACCCCCGATGACACCACCCCCCCTTTAAACAGCAGCGACGCAGCAGTAGGCACCCATCATGACATTGCAAAGAGCTGCGACGTGTAAGGGGCTAGACCCCAGCGGCTGTATCGATGACGATACACAGATGACTGATCAAGAGATGCCTTGTAACAGAGTGGATTTGACAAAGAGCTACAAAAGGATGCTAGCTGTACATAAATACAGGAGCGGACCGAAGATGGGCCGAAGTAGAATTAGATGGATGATGACAGAAACCTATAGATGTATCTCGAAGGAATCGCATGACGACAGCTACGCACACAGCGTAGCGCATGTAATAGGCTCAGCCTGTTACACGACGTCTTGAAAAACTCCCACTGCGCACGAGAGTGCAAGGTAGCTGGGGGTTGCGATTGCTGCAAGGTAAGTAGCTAAAAAAAAGTGTTTGAGAAGCATTTTGTTGAGACGTATGAGACTAACGGTTGGGGTTAGATGACTGGATGTTGTTAGTGAGTGAGGGTTCGGTTTAGAGGTTTGGACTTTGTGGGCTGGGTTGGACTAGGATGAATAGGGTGAGTTTTAGGGTTCTTTAAGGGGGGAATGAGGGTGATGTTAGGGTACAAGTGGGGGAATTGGTTGGGTTGGTAGTTGGCGTTTTGCTGTATGTAGATTGATGAAAGCTATACCTACATCGTGATATCTCTGTATCTTCAAACTGCATTTACATAACCGTCTATATCTCTTCCCTTGTTTTTCTCTCGATAGTGCCAGAACATGCAAGCAACCGAATTTAAATATGCTGAATAACTCTGGTCTTGATCTTACTCAAGTTAAGCGCCCGCCTGATATTGTTCTTCTTCTACGAGACCATACTTCTACGCCTCTTCCTCGACCAAAAATGTAATGACTTACTGTAGTAGAAGCATATATTTGCAATGCAGACTGCGCATTCAATATAGAATCGTTGAACGTCTTGACCAGCGATGTGAAGGTTGCCGGAGCCTGGGCTAAGACAGGGAAACACATGTTCGATTAGATACTTGGTACGTACCTAGAGGTAAGAGTAAAAAAAGCGTTGTGCCGGTTATTTTGAGATTTAGGCACATCTGCTGGGTAAGAGCGGTATGAAGATGTTGGTTGTTTGACTTCTCTAATGCCCACATCTCCGTAGTCATAGTCTACATCACTAGTATCTGCCACACCAGCCACCTGAAGTTCCCTTACAACCTGCTGCATAGAATCGAAACACGCCTTCCAAAAAGCCAGCATCAACCCCCCCAACGGCAAGCCTTCAACGTGCGGAAATTGTCCCTCAGCATACAACTTCTTAGCACGCAGCATCCGATCCTCAAATACAATCAATTTGTCGTATGGTTGCTTACCTGCAACGACTTCATACACAGCGCAGCCAAAAGCGAAGATATCCGTCTTAACGCTGATGCGCGGAGAAGATTCCTTGTAACTAAACCACTCATAAGACGCCGCTGCATCTCCTCCGTCGAGGCTACTACCTTCAAAGTCGATGATCTTTAGATGCTCGCCAACTATAATCCAATTATGACATCCAGTATCCGCGTGAATAATGCCCTGGTCGTGCATATACTGCGTCCCCTCTGCGGCTTCAATCAACCATGCAGCCCTCGTCTCGAGTGGGATGCCCGAATCTCCCCCGTCGCTCCCATTCCCCCCTCTCAGTACCTCGCGCACGCTTCTCCCTCGCTCGTAAACAAGCCCCTTGCCATCGCGTGTTTGGCCCAGACAACGCACAATGTTGACATGGTCGGAACCTAGACGTTGCGATACGCGTCGCTCCATATGAATTCCCGCGTCGTCGAACTCCTTTAGTATCCGAGCCGAATTAATCGCGTAGATTGTGCCTGATCCCCCCACGGCAAGATATTCAAGACTCGCATAGTCCACATCTATAGACGCTAAGGACGACGCTGTTTTCAGCAAATCTTTCTTGAAGCGCATGGCGCGTGGGCTTCTCGAGCGTACGCACGGTGCGCTAGCCAGCGTACTTGATCGAGGGAGCAGCGGGGGCTTCGTCGACGCGTTTCGCGCTTTGTGACTTTGTGACTTTGTGCGGTTGTGGACGCGACGCGTAACGTGTCTGTGCGCGTGATGCCCATAATCGCGTGCCGCACACCCCGCAACATCAACACCAATCCACCCTTACCACTTCAACCACCCATAACTCCACAACCATGAGTTGTATCAACGCTGCGATTGAAGCTATTGAATCGCGTGATCCCGGAGATAAATTTACATACTCTGAGGTTGCGCGCCGCTTTGGTGTTGATCGCTCTACGTTGTCGCGACGCCATCAACAGATCCGGGGCTCAAATGAAGCCAAATCACGTAATCAGCAACTCCTTCACCCACACCAGGAGCTACAGCTTCTAGAGCACATTGACGAGCTTACTGAGGCTGGCTTACCACCGACGAGGACTATGATCCAGAACTTTGCTAGTGCTATAGCCGGAAGGGCTACCTCCCAAAGCTGGGTGACGCGCTTCTTTCACCGTCATCCCGACGCGATTATATCACGTTGGTCAACTGGTTTGGACCGCAATCGCCACCGGGCTGATTCTGTATACAAGTACGAGTCGTACTTTGATCTACTATCTACTAAAATGGCTCAGCACCATATTCGGGCGCAGGATGTATATAATATGGATGAGAAGGGATTCCTTATTGGAGTGACGGGGAGGAGTAAGAGAGTGTTTAGTAAGCAGAAATATGAGACTGGGGGCTTTAAGAAAGTGATACAGGACGGCAACAGAGATTGGATCACTGTTATCGCTGCTATATGTGCTGATGGGAGTACGTTACCGCCCGCGATTATATACGAAGCTACTTCGGGCAACATGTACGCCAGATGGGTTGATGATATCGCAATTGACGATCCAGTCTACGTTACCTCAAGTCCCTCAGGGTGGACCAATGATCAGGTAGGCCTGGCATGGCTCGAACAGGTGTTTGATCGCCATACGAAGGAGAAGGCCGGCAATCACACACGCTTACTCATCCTTGACGGCCATGGGAGTCACGTTACTATGGAGTTTATTGACTATGCGATCGCCCACAATATTATGTTACTCATACTACCCCCCCATAGTACCCATACGCTGCAGCCACTCGATGTGGTAATGTTCAAACCTCTGGCAGCCGCGTACTCACTCAGCTTGCAGCACTACCTCCAGGCGAGCCACGGTCTCTTAGCTGTGAGGAAGGATGACTTCTACCGTCTTTTCAAGCCTGCCTGGGACTCCTCTTTCATTAAGAAGCACGCGTTGAAGGCATTTAAAGCCACTGGGATAGCTCCTATAGATCCCGAAGTAGTACTTAAAAAGTTCCGAAAGTCAACACTAACAGCACCGCCGCCACTAGTGAACGTGAGTAGAGCTACTATCACGAACCTCATTAATCAGGCCTACGATCCGAGCTCTATTGCGGCCAACAACCTCTCAGAAATACTCCTCCGCCTCCAGGCTGCCAAAGAGATCGCCGAGTACGAGAAGGACGCACTGCGCGCGGCGCTACACGTTCACCAGAAGCCCCGCAATCGGCACGAACCTCCCCTAGATCTACAGCAGCGAAAAGCGTTCCATTCAGGGGCAGTTTGGTGGTCGCCGTGCAAGCTTCGAGAGGCCCGCTTCAGGCAGCTAGTGAAGGAGAAGGAGAAGGAGAAAGAGCTACTTGATAAGATAGAGTTGAAAGAGGCAAAGGAGAACAACAGGATCTATCAACTTAAGATCAAAGAGGCAGCGCGGGCGGCGCGTGAGGAGGCAAAGAAGGTGCGGGATGAAGCCAAGGCTGTAAAGGCTGCCGAACTTGACGCCAAACGACGCGATCGCGACGCTGCAAAGGCTATACAACAACCCCAATCGGGCAAGCGTAAGGCTTCAAAGCCCGCTGCAAAGCAACAGCCAAAAAAACGACGCGTGGGTGGTGCTGGCGGTGGCACTCTGGCTGAGGTGGCTGCACCGGCTCCCCCACCAACAACCACCCGACGCGGCCGGGCCGTCAATACTCCGGCAAAATATAGATAGACAAAGTTGTAGAGCTACGTCTATAGATCAATACACCGGAAAATCTCGCGATAATAGTTATTGTACGTGGCTGCACAGCCTCAACTTTGCCGTCGTCGCGATATTGGTGGGGTGTGCGGCACGCGATTATGGGCATCACGCGCACAGACACGTTAACGTGTCCGTGCGCGTGATGCGCGGGGAACACCATATCCACTACTTCAAAAATGAAGCTATTAAGCCACGTATATAAGCTGTTATTATACGAATTTATAGAGGGGGAGTAATTAGATGCTTGCGATCAACTTGTACTATCTATATTTTGATGGGAGGTTGACGTTGCGGCCACGTGATGTGAGCTTTGGTTGATGTTGTTGATGTTGATTATGGTTTAACGCCCTATCTGTAACCTCCCATAGGGTATTCGGGCGGGTCCCGCCGTGGTCTTATAGTGCTGTCGCACTTGCCTCGTGGAACCTATTCCTAGGTGTTTTGTATCTAAGGGGAGTGATGTCCTGCCTATATACATGTTCGTGAAAAGGACTCCCGCCATTTGAAGCCGTTTTCCTACAATATTCTAGTATTTCGTGGCTTGCGCCTTTGATCGATGCAGTACAATGACTGCTTTTTAGAGAGAGAAACGAAAAAGTAACAAGAGGCAGTTTGAGATATAATGAAAAGTTTGAAAGAGAGCGTGTGGGTTGTGGCATCTATGCGGCGTTCTGCCGCGAATCCTACACTGAATAATGCCAAGGAATTCAGCGGGTCTTTGTGAAATTCAAAAATAGAAATCACTCGTTATAGAAGGAGTTCGTTACCTTAACGAAGGTCTCGAACTCTTGTGGCTGGTCTATTAATTGCGCGAGGTACGCTAGGCCTTCCTGTCTTGTGCGAGGGGGCACGATGGGGCGTAGAGGCCACTTCTTGAAGTGTGTTGTGGCTCTCTTGCAGAACACTAGGTGTTCTGGCGTCTTGGGCCTGCCGCATAGGCATTTCGAGGTATCCTCGTGGTTGAATTTTCGGTGGTACCATTCAAAGTCGCCATGCGTTGAGCGTATCATAAGGACTTTCGCGAGTATCCTTCGGGGTAGCCATAGCGCTGCGGGCGTGCGCCTAGTATCGTATGGCAGCTGCCATTGCGTGTACCATGCTGATAGCCTACTGCTCTTATCCTGCCACCAAGTGTCCCTTGTATGTTCGAGGAGGCGGCGGCCTACTGTTCGTATACCGGATCTTGTGGGGGAGGCGGCCATGCCGTATGGCTGGTGCGGGTCTTTGGCCTCGCTGTCAGCCAGCTGGTCGGCGAGCTCGTTTCCAACAATCTTCATGTGTCCCGGCGCCCACCGCGTTTTCACGTTGTAGGCCTCCATAGCTCCATGGATTTGGAGGAACGCCCATTGGGAGGAGGTAGGGGCGGTTCCGCGTATGCCCCATATTACCGAAGTGCTGTCTATGCAAAGTACGATCTCCCTCTGGCTAGGCAGTGAGAGTTGTAGTGCGTGTTTGAGTCCTCTGCACGCGCCTATAGCCTCCGCATCGAAGACGTGGCTAAGGGCATTTAGTGAGCCTTGTCCAGTCGCCACGGCGGCCTGGCCCTGGTATATAGCGTACCCGTAAGTGACCACCCTTGTACCGTTGATTTGTTGTTCAGACCCGTCTGAGAAGACAGTGATTGTCTCTTGTCCAAGAGACTCCCACCAGATGGTGAAATTCTGGGCAGCAATGTCCTTTCCTTGCCCTTGCGTTGGGTCCTGCCTCGACCCGTATGAAAAGTGAGGGCTGGCTAGGACGTTTCGGGGTGTGGCGGGTAGCAGTTGTGCTACGCGCTGAACCTTCGATCTTGGTATCCGTCGGTTGCCCGCTGCGCGTCCTCGTATGACTAGTGGCAGTGTAGTTCTATTAGTAAGTGGGTGCTTGTCGTCTATCGTGCGTAGGTGAACCGCAAAGCGGAGCTTAGCCTCCTCCAGCGCCACCTGTGCCGACGGCATCGCAGCTTCTCTTAGCAGTACTGCGTTTGGTGTTGTCCTCCACGCAGGGAATGTGAGCTTTGGTGGAGGAGCTGGAGGCTCTTCTTGAACTTGAGCACCAGCGCGAGCAGCCTCAACGCGTTTTTGACGCTTGTTGTTCGATGAGGTAGCTGCTGAAGCTCTCCTCTTTCCCTTTTGGGGTAGTTGTATAGCTTTAGCAGCGTCTCTCTCCTTCTGGCGCGCGCGTTCAGCTGCTTTCTCAGCTCGCTCAAGCTCCCTCATCTCCTTGAGTCTCTGCCTCTCCACACGCCTCTCCTCGAGCTCATCTTGACGCTGCAGTCGAGCCTCCTCGCGCTGCTTCTTGGACCGTAATTTTTGGAGTTTCTCCTCCGTCTCATCTCGCTCCCGTACTGCTTCTCTAGCTCGAGCCTCACGCAGCTTGCGAGGAGACCAGAAGACAGAGCCACCGTGATACTCCTGGCGCTGTTGAAGGTTAAGAGCTTTGCCCTTCTTCCTGTGCTTCTTTTTATGTTGAAGAGCCTCCTTTAAGCCCTCGTTCTTATGCTTTAAAAGCTCATACTGCACAGAGAGATGGTGAACGCTTAAGCGCAGCTTTCTTGCCTCATACTGATGGCTATCATTAACAGCAGCTCGTACTAGCCGATCGAGCTTTCTCCAGTCATGATCAGAGAGCCCTGACGATGAGCTTCTCTCAGCTTCTGGCGTGCTAGCAAATCTACGAAGGATAACGTTGGCATCTATCGGCCAGATCCCAGTGGCTTCGAAGGCCTTTAATATAAGGCTCTCTGTGAAGGAGGATATCCAGGCGCTCCAGAAGAGCGGGAAGAAGTCCCCTTTCTTGATTGGAATAAGGCCTTGAGCCTTATAGAGATGGTTAGTGAGCTCGTTAGAGTAGGCTTGAGAGAGTGGCTTGAACAGCACTACATCTAGCGGCTGGAGCGTATGGGTCGAA